AAGGGCTGTCACATGGCAAAGGGAACAAGCTTGTTGTCTCCTGCTTTGGAGGGTAAGGACTCAAATCAATGGCTTCTAGTTACAAGAAACGAGATTCCGACTAAACATCAGGAAAAACTTTCTGACAGTAAGAGCAGTAAGAACTTTCTGACAGTAAGACCCTCGGGAGGTTGTGGACTCTACTTCCTGGGAGGTTTATAAGCAGAGGTTGGATGGCCATCAGTCATGGATGCTTTAGTTGAGATTCCTGCATTGCAGGGGGTTGAACTAGATGACCCTCAGGGTCCCTTTCAACTCTAAATACTTTGATTCTATGAATATACTACAGGCAACAACCATTTTACGCTAGTTCAATGCACGTGCGATCATGGCACACATGCATTGCTGCAACCCAGAAGTGGCCAGAAAAGGGGGCTTAGCAGGGCATAAAGATCAGACTTACATGTAAATCGGGGTTGCCTGTACATAATATTTTCGTATTCAGTATGGGAAAAGATGGGCAGGAGAAATTTGGCCCAGTTCATGGAGGCTTTGAAAGTTCATATGGAAGGTGATGTCTGAAAACTGCTTCTTAGGCAATGCTTTGAATCTGACTGCCAATACAGATATAAAATATTTATGAATCTGACAAGTGGCAGATACAGGCGGGAACCATTTGATTCTGTTCCTGACCCCCCTGTGTATCAGTGGAACATGCATAAGCCCATCCCATTTCCGGACCACTTCCAGGTCAGCAGTAACAAGCATGTGTGTGATCAACGTGTCAACTGGACGCATGTAAAGTGGTTGCTGCCTGTAAACTGCTATGTTTTTAGTGGTCCCTGATTTTATCTATAAGCTGCCTTGAGTCCGGACCGAGGAAAAGGTACAGTATAAATAAATATAATGATGATGATAGGGCACGTGCATGTATAATCACCTATTTAACCTTTTAAATGCATGTAAGCAGTGAGTGGGAAAGGGTGGAGCAGCCCTGCTTGGGTGTATTTTAAGGGGACAGTGACTTTCAGACTTGTTTTCTACATCTCTAAGAGCCAAAGTTTTCGAAGTTCTTGCTGGCAAAGCCAAATAATAGTGCTGTGACCACCATCCCTTTTCTTGCTGGGAAGAGTGTACTGCTGGGTGTCAGAGTCTAAAGGCAATGGTGACAACACTTGCCAGTTCCACCATCCAAAAGAGAAAGGAAGTCGTTTCCAGTAGCCTCGTGTGGTCAAAGCTCTGCAGAAGTTTTGTCAACACAGCTGCCAAACAATCTCAGCAACAGCCTACACCCACTTCAAAGTCAAACCTGGGAGGAAAGCTGCTCCACCAGTCTTCAGAGGCTTTGGCAACTGAATTTGCTGGAACCTGTATATATCTGATGGAATGCACATGCATTTTTGCACCATCATGATATTTGAAGGGAGTTTGAAAGCAAACATATGAGAGATTTGCAAAATGAGTGAAGAGAAAGACTAGAATAACTCAGATTTCATGTATGGCTTTTACTTTATTACATGTATATGTAATAGATGCATTACATACTCATGGTTCATTCTGTCCAGCCATTTTACTTTCAAAACAGCCCTGCAACATAGATCAGGTTAGGCTGAGCACACACAACTGGTCCAAAAACATCCAATTGGGGCTGGCCCAGCCCGTTTTGCCATCTGAGGCAAAACAGAAAGGTGCTACCCTGCACATGTGCCCTTCCCCTTGCTGCCCCCATCAAAGCTTCACCTTCCAGGGTTGCACAGCTGCAGTTTCCTGAAAGATCTTGTGATGTTCCTATGAGATAGCACAGTGGCCTTGCATGACCATACCAAGATCCTGGCAAGCAAAGTCTCGGGAAGGTCATGTTAAGAACTTTGGAGGCCTGCATGCCATTTTGCAGGGTTCTGGTGAGATCTTGCTGGAATCCAGAAGCCGCGGCAGCTACTTCTCTTTGCTTCTCTGCTGGTGGTGACAGAGGGGGGGAGTGCCTGCAGAGGCACCCCCTGGATTCTGCTGTGTAAAGCAACCGCTTCAGTCTGCCTCATAAACAGGCCAGCTCTGCAGCCAGTTAACTTCATGGGTATCTAGGCTTTTCTTAGCCTTAGTAACAGGTTTTTAAAAACAATGCACATCAAAACACACACACATACACATTGAAAGTCAGCAGTTAAGCTTGTGTACTTTCTTATGCTGAAAATGTATCTGCCAGTTTTGAGCTTTATCTAGTGGGTTTTTTGCAGTCACAATTTGAATGTGTGACTAAAACTGAATAATAATAGGTTGTGAGCCTGCTCCACCCTACCCCCTTTTCTAGCCACTTCTGGAGTGGGTGCAATGCACACATGCATGATTGCGTGTCAGTTGGACATGCCTAAAACGGTTGTTGTCCATATTCAGAAATGTATGTATCAACAGACACTCTGTCATTATTGGCTGCTACTTCATGTCAACCACAATGGCAAATCTTAGTTGGCTGCCAAATACTAAGTGGCATGGCCCTACAGTGACTACTTATGTGCATGATTCATGTCTCCTCCTGACCTCTCTCCCAGTTCAGAGATGACTGCAGTTAGAAGCACATGGCCAACAGGAGAAACCAAACCATGTGGGCTTAACTGGGATGGGAGATGGCAAAAGAGAGTTGCAAAACAGAGGTGCAGATTCCTAAATGAGTGTGCATGTCCACAGTTACTGTAAAGGTGGTGAGCAAGGTGCCTTTGGTGCATGAGGATATTAATTTTCGTTAATTTTAATTATTAAATTTAGATCCCACCCTTGCAATTTTCACAATACAGTTAATATACATCGTTACAGCCTCATTTTTAATTTCTCAGTCAAGAATCAGTCAGCAGCCAATGTCAGACTGATTCACCAGATGATGACCCAACCCAAGTACTATACAAAACCTAAATGCACATTAAAAATGATGTCCTGCATCCCCAGCTGAATTCAGCAAACTTCCAAAGGACCGATATTGCAGCTCGTCTACTGTAATCTATTTATATGCAAGAGATTCTTCACCTCTACCAATACAGTGAATTAGTAAAGTTCATAAAAGAGAAAAAGAAGCATAGGCACCTGCAGGAATTTTTCAGGGAGGCAATGGCAAAGGCAGACACTGAAAGCATAATCTGCAAGCTAGTTTCTCACAAGAAAATGAGAAGAATAATGCCTGAACATTTTGTCTCATATCTTAGGTTCTACAAATACTAGAAGCTTTTTAAAAAATGAAAGCTGGGGATCTGGACATCATGAATGATTGGGGAGGGGGGTAACCACACACACGTCTCCCGTGGTACAATGTTCAAAATTAGCCAGGCGCATTTTGGACCTGGCATTTGATCACTTGTGACCAAGATCCCTGGGAGCCAGGATGGCATCTGACATCTCCACCATCTGGGGATCATTGGAGCTGGACTGTTTTCACACACTAATACCCCATCCTGTCAAATTCTACCAGTTATATTTTATCTGTACAATTGAAATGAATTTCTGGAACCCAAATGCTTTTTCTGTTGCAGCCTGAGCAGGTGCACTCTCCATTAAGAAAAAGAAGTTGGAACAGGAGAATATATATGTGGACTGTCCCTGGATCAAGTGACTTTTCTTCTTTTAAGTTCTCAAACCTCAAGGTTGTCATCTGAACTAGCCAGATCTTTAACTGAGAATCAATCAGTCAGTGCATCATTTAAAGCAGTCTTGCCCCAAAATGGCAACTAGAAATTCCACTTTGGCGACTGTAACCTTGATTTAAGGATCCATTTGGCGCCTGGCTTATAGATCTTGTGTTTCTAACACTGCATACGGCACCGTACCAAGAAGCTGAATACTCATATATACTGCTAACATTTTTGAATTCTGTAACTGAACAACTCAAAACATTTAGAGTATATATTGTACTGTATATAAAACATGACAACACACAACAGACAAATTCCATTTTCATAAATCTTAAAGTTACTGTTTGATGCAAAAGGCATACTGTTACAAAGTCTATACCATAGTCACGTATGTTACTATAAAAGACAGCATAATTTATGCTACTGCTAAATCACCTGGGACTATTACCTGTCAACCATAGCAACCAAAAAGCCCCAGGAATCTCCTATGGGAGGATTTTAAGTGGAGACAAATGAAGCCACCACCTATACTCTTGCTGCAGGAACTAGCTGGAAGCTAACCCTTCCCTTATATGTGAATGTGCATACACACGTGATATTAGGTACCACCAGCCAGCAATGTTTGACCTCATGATCAATATTGTCAGGCAAGACCAGCAAGTTTCCCGTATTATTCACATCTCCTGATACCAAACAAATAATACGAAATGCCTTAGCCCTAATAACAACTGAAACACAAGAGCCATTACATAATGCCCATGTTTTTAGGACTAATGACTTCAGTAGGCCTGGAGAAAAGGAATTTATCCACAAAGGTTTCAGGTCTTTTTAAAAGCTATGTGCACAAGAGGGAGATTTTCATATTGACTTCCTCACCTTTGTCTTTGACTGGTTTTACTCCCAAATAGTATACTGGCTAATGTTAACCAGTTGAAAAATAAGGATCCAAAAAGTAAAATAAGTAAGTCCTACTCATGTTTACTTGGCAGTAAAACCAACCCAGTTCAATGCAGCCTGCACTGCAGCTTGAATGTTCCTTCCAGAAACAAAATGAACCTTTAAGCCACGTTTCTGAAGGTGAAGCAAAGAATTCTGTAGCCCCTGAGACACAGGCACGAGAAGGAGTGACTGAGGAATATAGGTGTAGGTGTAGCAGGAGGAGTGAGCAGCATGGCCCCGGGAATGAAGACGGCCAAAGCCAGTGTGCGACACCGCCACCGGCTCAGCTCACTGCAGGCAGACGTTTTCTCGCCGTCCACATAAAACTCAACGGAGCAACTCACTCCACGGATTTTGAAAGGAAAGAAATTAGGCTTTGGCCCCCACCTCCATTACCTACTGTGGGACAGGATTTCTACGGAGCACCTGCAGCCCAGGGAGCTACTTGGGAGGAGGGGGCGCACACACCTGTACCCACATGCGGCTGATTTTAGCACATCCTAGTCTAAGCGGGGTTCGCTCGTTTGTTCCCCCTCCAGGGCCTTCAAGCCGGGGCCAGGATCCTGCTTCGAGGCGCCTCTCCCAGGGATGGCCACCAGACTGGGGTTTGTTTTGCAAGAGTAGCATCCAAACCGCATCGGAGGAGGAAGGCAGGGAAAGGTATGGATGGCGCTGCGCTGCCTCCGGGGAGGCCGCAAGGACGGCAGAGGCTCGGGGAAAGGCAGGAGGGAAGGATCGGGGCGCCTCCGAACAAAGAAAGGCTCGTTCGAGAGGCGAGCGAAGGCACCGATCCCGGCCGGCGCTGGGAACGGAGCGCCCCCTCCCCGGAGGCGCCCCCGCCGGCCGGCCTGGATGCCGCGGCCCGAAGGCGGCGGGAAGCTGCCCCGAGAGCGCGGGAGGCCGGCCGGCCGGGGCAGGCCCAGCAGAGCGGAGGCAGCCGAGCCCCTCACGGCCGCCCAGGCCTCGCGCGGCCCTGCCGAGGGCGGGAGGGAGCCCGGGCCCGGGGAGGAGCGGAGTCTTCCGGGCCGCCTCCCGGCCGCGCTGGCGCCTTACCTTGTGGATTCTCTTCAGCGCCATCGCGGCGGCGGCGGAGCCTGTTGAGGGCGGCGCGCGAGGAGGGAGGGAGGGAGGGAGGGAGGAGGAGGGGGACTACTTTCCGGCCGCGGAGGGAGCGCGGAGGGCGGTTCGGCGGAAGCGGGCCAGGCGGGGGCGCGCGAGGGGGCCGCGTCCAAGGCCGGCCGCTCTGTCCTCCTTCCTCGCAGCCCTGCCGGCCTCGTCGCTCCTCTGGCGGCGCTGTTGGCCCGCTCCCCTGCGAAGGCGGCGGCGGCGGCCTCGGCCTTCCCCCGCCCCCCGCGCGCCTGCGCGCCCCGACTCCCGCCCCTTCAGGCAAGCGGCTGCCCCGGCCGCATCACCCGCACGGAGTTCTTTTATGACGCCGGCAGCGTCGGAGGTCAACGGGATTCCTCCGCTGTGCGGAGCCCAGCGGCGCATGCGCCCTTTCACTCGGGTGGGCTAGGAGTAATGCGGGCGGGAAACGGCGTGACAGGCTGGCCGGGAGGAGGCGGCGGGGAGGAGAGACAAGGAGCAGGTCGGCAGGCGGGGATTCCTCCCTTGGGAGGCGCTCAGCGGGCGAAGTTTCACGCTGTTATCGCGAGAAGAGACTTGTCGGAAGAGGTTCCCGGAAGTGGGCTGCCGGAAGGACGTGGAGGAGGGGGAAGAGCATCCGGTGTCGCCGCCTGGAACGGCCTTCCTCTCTGGGCTCGCTGGCGCCTGTGGGACCCCCCCCTCCCCCGCCACCTGAAGTCCCTTAGGGCGCTGGTGTCCAGACTTTTTTCAAAGAGGGCCAGATTTGATGAAGTGGAGGGCCAACCAAAGGTGTTGAGGTTTTTTAGGATTTTACCTCAGGAAATAAACTGCCGCAGGGGCCGGATTAGGCCCCTGAAACAGACTCTGGACATGCCTGACTTAGGGGAAACCTCTTTGTTTAAAAATAAAAGGAGTGGAGCGGACGGTGAACCGGATTAACTACACACAATTGTAGAATGAGCTATTACTGAATGAGCTATTATTAGGAGGAAAGCGCTATTGCAAGTGTATTTCAGCCTCTCCACCTGCTCACGTATCATTGGCACTTGGAAAGCTGCGCTTTCTTTTGCTTCTTTTTGAATGCTGTAACTCGATAGTGTGACCTGGGAGTTTGATGGGTGTTGGTGTGGGTGTGGCTGGAATGTGGTTTGTTTGGTTGTTGTTGTTGTTTTGCTTTTGTTGTTTTAAGGGATGGCATCCAATTTCGTTGCACTTTGTGCAATGTTGCACTTGTGTAATGACAATAAAGAATCTATTCTATTCTATTCATTGAAAACGGATATGATGACGACCCTTAAGTAGTGGTATTTGAACTTTAAGTTATTGTCTTGTGTAATTTGGGCTGTCTTCAAGAGTTTTCCAAGAAAGAAGATGCCAGACACCATTTTTAAGCATCGCTTTGTTCAGCCAGTTCAGCACAGTCAATGTGCACACTGGGCTTATATTTGGTGATTTGTTGGCATTCAAGGCAGTTAATGCATTGCAATATGCTTCGCAGCTTTTTTGATCCCCTCATGAATAGATATGAGTGTCAAGTTCTCCTCAGACTTGAAATCTCTGTGCACATGCCAGCTCTTCTTCAGGTATCTCAGTGCAGAAGATGAGCTGGTATTTAAAGTTGAAGCAAACATTCAAAATTAGAATTCTAACCATTTCATTATATCTGATTCTTTAATGGTGATATTGTGCACTAACAGGACATATGTCAGGGTTGGACTATCAGCCTTTCTCAGCCTTGGGTCCCCAGATGTTTTTGGCCTACAACTCCCATGATCCCTAGCTCACAGGACCAGTGGTCAGGGATGATGGGAGTTGTAGGCCAAAGACATCTGGGGACCCAAGGTTGAGAAAGGCTGGTCCCTTCCAGTTCTACAGTTCTGTGATATAGCACTGCAATCCATAGAACCTTTTCTTTAGAGTGAGAGCAGTTCCTGGAAAAAAAAAAGTACCTGGAAGTAAAGGACTCTTGAGAGTGAGACAGTTTTTAAAAAGCTAAATAAAAAATCCTCATGAATGTGTTTCATAGGTTGCTGAATCCTAGGATCTAGTTAAGGTAGTTGCCATTGCACTGGCACAAGCAGCATTACTGGTACTTTCATTATCAGAGCTGATATACCTCTGAAGTTGAACACCAGTTATGTTGTATGAACACAATAGCCCCACTGTTGGCCACTATAGAAAATAGGTCCCTAAGCTAGATAAGCATTTGGTCTAATCCTGCATGGCTCATTTTATGTTTTCATTGTATGTTCAGTTAGAGGCAACACAGGTAGACCTGGTAGATAATTCTCTCAAGCTCTGAGAGATAGATGCTCAATCTTGGAATGTCAGAATCAGAGGTGCTCTAAGAGCACTTTATTAGTATGGTATAACATAGATTATCCTTGATGCAAAGATGGCATCTAAAGCAGATACATATTGGCTGTCAACCAGGCTTCGTAATCATTGACCTATGCACAAAGGACTCGAGACTGGTGAGCATTTTGGGCTAATGGTAGGGGGACTGTTTATTATTTTTTATTATTTTGTTGTCTATTACTTTGCTTTGTTTTATGTTTTTATTATTATGCTCCATAAAATGTTTTTAATGTTGTATACCTCCCTAAGATCTTTTGATAAAGGGTTGTACAGTGGTACCTCAGTTTAAGAACAGTCCGGTTTAAGAACAATTCAGTTTACAAAGTCCGCAAAACCAGAAATAGTGTCCCAGTTTGAGAACTTTACCTCGGTCTAAGAATGGAATCTGAATGGTGGAAGGGCACCAGCAGCGGGAGGCCTCATTAGGGAAAGCATGCCTCGGTTTAAGAATGCTTTTGGTTTAAGAACAGACTTCCGGAACGGATTAAGTTCATAAACCGAAGTACCACTGTATATAAATAATAATAGAATTAATAATAGAATATTTAATGAGGAAAGAATATAGAGGTGCTTTCAGCACTGTATGAAGCCAACCAGTGGTATGGCAGCATAAAATGTCAGAGACATTCATATCCAAGAATACATCATCATGACATCCTCCTTTAGTGACTGGCTGCAAGGCTGAGTATTCCTAGAATCCCTAATACAGGTTTCCAGTCATTCCCTCCTTTGCAAGTTTGTGAAGGTAATGTTCTTCTGGTTCTAGCCTGAATGGGTAAGTTGGGCACCTGCTCCAAACAGTCTGGGCTGAACCCAACTGTCCTAGCCTCCACTGTGCAGCACTGAATGCCTGACAGTGATAGTGTTAGAAGGAGTGAGTGTCTCTCTGTAAGCCATCAGGGATCTAATTCCATGGTAAAAATTAATAATAAATAATACTCTCCTGAAACAGGTTCTAAGGTGGACATTTGTGGAGGGAAGGCAAAATGTCCCTGTGGTCAACAGGTACTGCATAGTTTGGCAGGTCAGAGCTTCAGGTGTCACAGGTTGTGTTGATGGGCTACACATATCTTTACTAAATGTGTCCTGTTGCTTCTAAAGCAAAGGCTGCAGAAGCCAGTGTTAATCCTCTAGGAATCCTGAATTCTGGCCACTGCAGACTACTGCTAAATGAGAAAGGGCATGTAATACCTGCAAATTGGCTCTTGGTAGCCCTGGGGAATTGAGAACAGCCATAGATACACTTACAAAGATCTTCAAGCACCTTAGACAGCTGCAGTCTAGACAAGGCCAGCTATAGATTAGATTGTTCCAGGGGCACCTGAATCGACCAACTGAGGATGAGTTATCCCATGGTGACCAGAGCTATATGATCCACATGAAGGAGAAACTTGCCTTTCTGCAATGGTCAACATGAGTGATATAAGCTCTGAAACCCAGCTGTAATTGCCTTACACAAAGGCTGCCGTTCCTCCTTGCAAGCCACCTACTTGCTATACTTCTGACACCCTACCTTTGCTCCTGCGCAGTTGTTCATCTTGTTCTTCACCTCTTTCAAGTTCATTACCTTCAGAGGCACTGCTACGTTAAGGAGGGGCAGGCAAGGTACTTTCTGAAGGGCCCATGCCAGTTCACCCCACTGCTCTGCAGCAGTACTGCTGGCCCAAGGTTTTGGGGTTTTGCTTTGTTTTTAACTTTGCTGGGTGGTTGTACTGTTTTTCTCTCATCTGCCCATCTTGGCCTTTCAGGGTCAAGGCACCTGACTGCCTATCTGGAAGAAGGAGTGGACATTGGGACACTGATATCTGCCCTATGAAGCAAAGTGTTGTGCCCACAGTGGCAGCTGCAGCCAGCTGCTGCCATTTTAATTTAATTTACGTACTTTGGAATTATATACACATTTCCTCAAAATCCATGAGATGGCAGTATAAACTAAGAAAAGGTTGTTCTGCTCAGACGCTGCCTTTTCATTTTCAGCTATATATCACCATAGAGAAAGACAGCAATAGTTGAAAGGGGGCTAAGTGTTCTCCTTCAGTATCTTTAAAATTTTAACAGTTGGATAGATCTGCCTCAGCTGTTGAAAGAAAGCACACACCAAAGGAGTAGGCAATGAAAGTGTAGGAGGACGTAATAGTCAAAGAGGCCAAAGAGCCATAAGGAAAAAGAACAGATTGGAGACCTTTGGAGAGACATAATCTATTTTATAGGTTTTTATATGTTAATCCTAGAAGTCTGTGCCAAGCTGGATGAGCTGGTGTTCTTGTTTTCTAATAAAAAGAGAGCACTGTAATATTGTGGAAATAACCAAAACCTGGTGGGGAGCACCATTTTTTGATATAAGCTCTATATAAACCTGGTGCTCCACTGATTCCAATTCCCCTCTTCCCTGATCATTGGCTATTCTTCCTGAAGCTGAAGGAAGTTACAGTCAAACAATTGGAGGACCACAGGTTCTCATCCCTGCTCTATAGGAAGATGAGGTGGAGTGGTGGAGACCTCTACCCCAGGAGGCTTCTAGGCAGGAGGCAAATGGAGATAGCATGGACCCAGGATCATGGTGGTTTGAGACAGAACACACCCTTGAAGATGAAGAAAAGATCTGGGAAATAATGGAGGGTGAGGAACGGGAGCAAGATGAAAGATGAACACCCACAGGGAGAATGCATAGTTCTGATTGACTTAGTGTGGGCTGATTGATTTACATTAGGTGGCTGGGATCCCACCCCTCCCCCACCTCCTTATAGAATCATAGAACTGTGGAGTTGGGACCATGAGTGTCATCCAGTCCAACCCCCTGCAATGCGGGAATCTCAACCAAAGCATCCATGAGAGATGGCCATCCAATGTCTGTTAAAAAACTTCCAAGGAAGAAGAGTCCACCATCTGCTGAGGGAGTCCATTCCACAGTTGAACAGCTCTTACTGTCAGAAAGTTCTAAACTTTATCTTGGCTTGGAGGGAAGCCAGACTTTAAATTCAAGGTGTTGCATAAATACGGTATATAGAATATCCTTACAGGAAAGAGAACATTTAGAAATGCCTTATGCAGATAGAAACTCGTTTTGTTTTTCAATTTAAAACTTTAGAACCTACAGGTCTCAACACTGAATTTGATCTATCACCGTTTCTGTAAAGAATCAATGTTTAGACTGTGAGGGGTTAATCGCCCTGAGCTTGTAAAGTATTTAAATGTAAGAGACCACCCTTTCCTCTAGAAGCTTGCCTGATTGCAGGAAACTCCCCACGAAGAGCATAGTTCACTGTCAATTTGGAAAGATTTATATGTGCAATTATTCAATGGAAATATATGATTATACTTTTGGAAAGCTTCATGGTAGTTTAAACAGTATGCGATTTCATTTGTAGAATTACAAAAGCCAAAGCCATTATTGAAGCTGTGAGCCGGAAAGGGACAGGATAAAGAGATAGAAAGAACAAAATAACACTTTAAGGTATTTTGAACTTTATTTAAAGCATTTAAATACATGCAACTCATAACAAGACAAGATAGAAGTGTGTGTGTGTGTGTGTGTGTGTGTGTGTGTGTGTGTAATTGTTAAGAGACAACTGCTTGTGAAGAAGAATCGAAACAAGTTATAGGCCTGGGGAACTTGTGACAGAGCAAGGGGAAGTCGTAACACACCCCACACCTGCAAATAAACAAGCCAAGACTTTACCATGTTTTTTTGAATGCAGTTTTGGATTATGTTCTATAGTGAATACTGCATTTAACCCCTTTTTGTATACAGTGGTACCTCTGGTTACGAACATTTCAGGTTACGAACACTTCAGGTTACGAGCTCCGCTAACCCAGAAGTAGGTCTCCTGCTTGCGAACTTTGCCCCAGGATGAGAATGGAAATTGCGCGCCAGGTTTCAGGATAAGAACGGTTTCAGGTTAAGTACAAACCTCCGGAATGAATTAAGTTCATAACCAGAGGCACC